TAGCCCGGTATATCTATTATATGAAAAGTCTAGTTAAGGTGATGATTAAGTAAATAAAGTAATCAAAAACTAATCAATGTATTAGTCTAATGAGCTTCATGTAAAAAATCTATAAATATAATATACATAATATAAAATACTAAATAAATTAATTACATTAATTTATTTTAATATTACTTGACTTACTTAAACATTAGAATATTTTCTATTAATATAACCCTTATTCGATTTGAAGAAAACGGATATTCTTTAAAAAAATACTCCTAAAATTAAAAGTTTGTAATATTTGAAATGCTTCACACAAATTTTACAAATATATATATATATAAAGATAGATAAATAAACAAAATAAATTTTAGTATAAATTTAACTTTGAATATCCATACATTCATTTTCATTTTGTTATGATAATACAATATATTATTATTATTATTATTATATATTATTCTAATTATGAAATTAAATATAAATAACTTTTATAATATTATTGTAAATATTTTTATTTATTTTATTGATAGTTTTACAAATAAAAAAAGTTAAATTTAAAAAACTGTCAAATTGAAAAGTCAATTAAGGTTAAAAAAATGGTTATTTAAAAAATAAAATTAATAAAATAATAATTTTAATTTAAGAAAATAATTAAAATAATAAAATTAAAAAATAATTATAAAGAAAGATAGTTCTAATACACCATCCCTAATCTTAGCTATACGGTCCTGAGTCTATGGGTCTGAGTCGTGTAAAAATTGGCAAAGAGAAGATGTGATGACTTCAGCGGTGGTGGGGGCCACCACCAGCTGGAATAAGAGAAAAAACATGAAAAGAAAAATTTTGTGCCTCCGATTATGATGCCACCACTCTACGGTCTAATCTCATACCTGCTTCCTTATAAATACATAAATATACAACGCTCCAAATTGCATCTCAAGCAACTTCTCTCCTGCGCCATCTTCATCCCATTCATTCAACTCCAACACACATATCAGGTTTTTCCCTCTTTTCCCCTCTTTCTTCACTCATTCCTCTCTTTCTGCTGTAAATGATGTCTTCCTTTTACGTCTATCCATCTTCTCCTTTCTCCATTGACAGTTCTATTTAGATACAACAAATCTACATTTCCAATTTTCTCGGCTATAACATCTGATTCATCCTTCACTGCAGTTTTCTCACTGCCTGCGCTGACTTCTCTACTAACTGTTTTCCAGATTCCAACTACTCTACTTTTCCTTTTGCACCTTACCTGTACCAGATGAATGGAATACAGAATCTAAACAACAAATGATTCCGAAGACTAAAAATAAATACAAAATTTAAAATACTCATTTTTTCCTATATTTTCTTTACATGAGGAGAAACCTTCTACTTTTTCTTTACTAAACAATGATTCTCTAATGTTTTATTCAGTTCCATTCTTCTTTTCCTCCTTCTCTTTCTTTTAATCTAAAAATAGATACACTGAAACTTAATAGTACGTGTATTGTATTCTTTGAATTGTAATATATGATTGTCAGATTCGTCTGCAACCTCGAGTATTCTGATTTTTTTTTCCTACTGAAAAGAGGTGAACATTAAATATAACTAATACCTTTTTAGAAACTTTATTTTTAAAATATTATATTAAAATTTCTTATTATAGATAGATATTAGTAATGGATGAATGAGTCAGCGAGCTGCTGTTGTAGTCTCACTGATTTTGGTTTTTACGAATTTTATTTGCAAGAATTGCTTTTTTATTTCCATTAAAACCAAACAATTAACCTTGCCCACCCATCCTTCGTTATTTTGATTTTGATTTGGAGCTCCTCTAATGGCTTTTTAATATTTGTTTTTGCGAAGAGAGCCTGGTTTTTTTTTTCATGTCCTTTCCTTTTGGAAAACGAATTTGAGCCATCAATTAAATTTATAGAAANCATTCCCACACATGACATACTCCTCTCTACTTGAGAACGAGCACTCACGGAATATCAGGATGAACCACCATCTAAGCTTACCACGTTCATACTTTACCATTTCAATTCCATTCAAGAGTCGTTCCTCCCTGGAACGCTCGTTCAAAATCCACAATCATAATTTCAGTTCTTATACTGTTCGCACATCATGATACTTCCTCTTAATAACATTTTCATTCTTTGTTCCACTTACATAAAATGACGAGCGTTCAATCCTCTTCATAACGAGGACGAACGTCAAAAGCGAGACCTAAAGATCTTCTTTTCCGAAGGGATAAAGCTGACACATTTTACATGACAAACGTTATTACAAATTTGAATCAGTTAAATGAACTGACTCTAGAACAATTCAACTTATACTTAGAATAATTCACTTGCCAAGATTTCAGAGTCAATTCAACTGAATGAAGATACAAAAGACGAGTACTAAATGTACTGAGTATAATTTAGTTAGAATGACCGACTGCCAGTAAATGACCGAACGCGGTACGCGAATTTACTGAATACGGACGAACGCTATGAAAGTTAGGACGAACGCTATTTCTGTTAGTTGGAAAATTACGGAAAGAACGAGCGTTCGGTATAGGACCGAGCGTTACTTATACGTACGCTTTAGGACGAGCGTTCGGTATAAGACCGAGCGCCACTTAGGACGTACGCTTTGGGTCGAGACCCATCGCTGATTTAAAATTTTAGAAATAGGATTTTATATAAGTTGGAATGGTGAAGTTACATTTTTAACAATAGGACTAAGTGTCTGACGATATATATTTTCAAGTTTCTCAATCTCTCACACAACACTCAGGATCTCTACGTTTGGCCGAACGCTCAAACGTAAAGTTATATATATAAAAGAGGGCGTTCGTCCTCAGATACAGTTCTTTCAAATTGAAAGGGTTCAGCTATTTCAAGGAAATTACTGAGAATACCGAACGGTCAAAGACCGTTTCGATAACGAACGTTCATTATCATATAATTTCATATTCAAATTCAACTTACAGTAAACACATTTTTTTTTTCGGTATAAACTTTCATAAATTAAATTACTCATATCATAGTACAATCCATACTCTTCATGCATCATCTCATCATCAAAATTATATAATAAAATCTGATACCATAGCTCATACTCAATAAAATTCACAGAACATGCATCCAACACAGTATAACTCACAGAACAGTCATGCAACGCAGTATAGCTCAAGAATTAAATTTAATAAGCTTCCCTTACCCGGATTCAGTAGTGATCGCTCTAAGGTTGTGTGATCTTAACTCGTTCAAATATGGCTTTCTACTCTCAACTTTTCTCTTAAGCTCTTCAACTAAAACTAATCAAAAGAAACACATAGGACTTGGTTTATACCCTTGCATGCAGATGAAAATGGGTTTGCATATAACTCAGAAACGAACGTCTTAGGTTGGGAAACTTACCGGTTACAAAACTGGAAGTTGTTCGGTCTAAGATGAAGCTCACGGTGCAGGGGACGTTCCTACGGTGCTGAAACGTGAACGGAGAAGAGAATGGTAAGTTACAGAAGAGAGAAGGAGGAGGGTTCTAGAGAGAAGGAGGAGAAAATGGAGGTTGGATTTTCTGAGGAAGATGAAGGTGCACGCAGAGAAGGGAAGAGTGTTTCAGAAAAATTAATTCCCTTCCCAAGTCAAACGGACGTTCTCTCTTGCGCTGACACCTGACTTCCAATATTGAATTCAGAACCTTCCAATTTGACACATGTCAGAGAGGAGTCAGAGAATGTGAGTGCGTTTTAATGGCACTGCACGTGGAGCATGGGTGCATTTATGGAAGCAAGTAGGTGACTGAGCATACCATTAAATGAGACGTGACATTTTCTCTTTCCATTCATGAATGTATAGCGTAGATAGTAAGTTGGTGGATTCAATAAAATGTAGGAGTTTTATTAATATCATAAATCGTATGAATAAATGTCTTAAATAATGAAGAATGATGGAAATTTCTTCTAATAGAGTATAAAGTATAATTTCAACTTGATAAATGTTAGTCTTTTATATGAAAAATATAATGACATGTCGCTTAGACGTCCTTAAATCTTATAATTTAAACTATAGGAGAAGACTACATAATCGGTATATATTTAAGAGTAATAAATCTTTAGGGTTTTAACCACAAACTTTAGTGATATAATCAGTTATGTGTCTGTCAATTAGTATAATATTATACTATAATTTAGCCCGGTATATCTATTATATGAAAAGTCTAGTTAAGGTGATGATTAAGTAAATAAAGTAATCAAAAACTAATCAATGTATTAGTCTAATGAGTTTCATGTTAAAAATCTATAAATATAATATATATAATATAAAATACTAAATAAATTAATTACATTAATTTATTTTAATATTACTTGACTTACTTAAACATTAGAATATTTTCTATTAATATAACCCTTATTCGATTTGAAGAAAACGGATATTCTTTAAAAAAATACTCCTAAAATTAAAAGTTTGTAATATTTGAAATGCTTCACACAAATTTTACAAATATATATATATATAAAGATAGATAAATAAACAAAATAAATTTTAGTATAAATTTAACTTTGAATATCCATACATTCATTTTCATTTTGTTATGATAATACAATATATTATTATTATTATTATTATATATTATTCTAATTATGAAATTAAATATAAATAACTTTTATAATATTATTGTAAATATTTTTATTTATTTTATTGATAGTTTTACAAATAAAAAAAGTTAAATTTAAAAAACTGTCAAATTGAAAAGTCAATTAAGGTTAAAAAAATGGTTATTTAAAAAATAAAATTAATAAAATAATAATTTTAATTTAAGAAAATAATTAAAATAATAAAATTAAAAAATAATTATAAAGAAAGATAGTTCTAATACACCATCCCTAATCTTAGCTATACGGTCCTGAGTCTATGGGTCTGAGTCGTGTAAAAATTGGCAAAGAGAAGATGTGATGACTTCAGCGGTGGTGGGGGCCACCACCAGCTGGAATAAGAGAAAAAACATGAAAAGAAAAATTTTGTGCCTCCGATTATGATGCCACCACTCTACGGTCTAATCTTATACCTGCTTCCTTATAAATACATAAATATACAACGCTCCAAATTGCATCTCAAGCAACTTCTCTCCTGCGCCATCTTCATCCCATTCATTCAACTCCAACACACATATCAGGTTTTTCCCTCTTTTCCCCTCTTTCTTCACTCATTCCTCTCTTTCTGCTGTAAATTATGTCTTCCTTTTACGTCTATCCATCTTCTCCTTTCTCCATTGACAGTTCTATTTAGATACAACAAATCTACATTTCCAATTTTCTTGGCTATAACATCTGATTCATCCTTCACTGCAGTTTTCTCACTGCCTGCGCTGACTTCTCTACTAACTGTTTTCCAGATTCCAACTACTCTACTTTTCCTTTTGCACCTTACCTGTACCAGATGAATGGAATACATAATCTAAACAACAAATGATTCCGAAGACTAAAAATAAATACAAAATTTAAAATACTCATTTTTTCCTATATTTTCTTTACATGAGGAGAAACCTTCTACTTTTTCTTTACTAAACAATGATTCTCTAATGTTTTATTCAGTTCCATTCTTCTTTTCCTCCTTCTCTTTCTTTTAATCTAAAAATAGATACACTGAAACTTAATAGTACGTGTATTGTATTCTTTGAATTGTAATATATGATTGTCAGATTCGTCTGCAACCTCGAGTATTCTGATTTTTTTTTCCTACTGAAAAGAGGTGAACATTAAATATAACTAATACCTTTTTAGAAACTTTATTTTTAAAATATTATATTAAAATTTCTTATTATAGATAGATATTAGTAATGGATGAATGAGTCAGCGAGCTGCTGTTGTAGTCTCACTGATTTTGGTTTTTACGAATTTTATTTGCAAGAATTGCTTTTTTATTTCCATTAAAACCAAACAATTAACCTTGCCCACCCATCCTTCGTTATTTTGATTTTGATTTGGAGCTCCTCTAATGGCTTTTTAATATTTGTTTTTGCGAAGAGAGCCTGGTTTTTTTTTTCATGTCCTTTCCTTTTGGAAAACGAATTTGAGCCATCAATTAAATTTATAGAAAGTAAAATTAAGACAGTGGAAGTGTATTAAAAATATGTATGTTGAGGGTGTGCTGTCATGTTGTTTTCATTTTAGGTTTTTTACTCTTGAGAGCAGTTGACTATAATCCGATATTACATACAGACAAAAAAAATTGTTATTCTTAATATCAAGTTCATCTTTTTTTATATTCGATACTAGAGAAATGCGTTGAAAGATCTGAAAAGAAATATTACAAAGAAGGAAAAAAAAAGAAAAGATCCGTCCATAGAATCTGAGAGCATGCTAGGGTCACCAGAGTTGTTCTATCTGATGCTTTTTTCCAAAATTCAAAAGGAGAAACTAGTTTTTTCTTCCTTTGTCTCTCTTGACATCTTTGAAAAACTTGGATAGTAAAATGTCGTGAGTTGTCTGGCAAACGGATAATCGTTAATTTGCTTCTTGCGCTTATCTTGCAAGTATAAGGGTCATTAGTTGACCAAGTTAATGAACCTTTAAAGGATGAAATAACGTAAATCAATAATGAAACAGAGTTTATATGGTTTTCTTTTAATGTTCTTGTCAGCTCTACGCAATTTATCCGTGGCTGAATTTTTACTTTACATTGGAAGGTTGTAAACTGAGATAATTATGTTATGTTTGTTTTTTGTTCAATTTTCAAATCACAAGTGAATTGTCTTGAACCTGAAGATCAGTATTGGTCGATAAGAGTCTAATGTATTCCATGCAATTGAAACTTGAACTAATGTTGCAGATATTCATATTGAGCATAACTGTGATAAAAACTTAGGCCCTTTCCTGGAATGAATCCATTGTTTATCAAAGAATTTGGGAGAGAGTTTTGCAGTTCTCTTTAATGGGCTGCTGCTATTCATCTTCAAAGAGAACCGGAACGCCAGGTTATGAGGAACCCACCGTTCTTGCATCTCAGACACCTTGTGAGTATCATGATCCATTATTGAATGGTAAATCCTTGCTGCTTTTCTGTTCAAATTTTGATTTGGCTTCTGCTAAGAACCACCAAGGTCCTTTTACTAATCTACTCATCTTATACTCTTGGGGGCATTTCATCTCCGGTTTCAATTTGTAAATTTACTCAATTTATGATTTAGTTTGCCTGGGACTCGCTAATCTTTTAATATACAATACAGAATAAGCAAAAAATCAAATTTCCAAATTCAGTGTCGCAGTTCTTTCAGCTACTCCTAATTACTGATAGTTGATTTTGACAAATTATATTCTAACGATCATGTATGGAAAAATATGGGTTTACAGTACCAGTGGATATAGAATCAATGTACTTAATCCTAATATCCTCTGTTATTAGGTTTACAAGATTCTAGCACAACTGTTTGTTGAAACCTCGTAACGAGTGATTCGTGATTCTTTATGAGCTCAATATTAAGTTTCAAAGGTGATAAAAAGAAACTTTCTTTCTTTCGACAGTTACTGTTAGTGAAGTAGAAGCCTTGCATGAGCTCTTCAAGAAGTTGAGCAATTCCATTATTGAAGATAATCTTATTCACAGGGTGAGTGAAGCTTTAAAATTTCCAGTTTAGATGAGATGTCCTAAAGTTGGCACCTAAGTAATCTCTTTGACAATTTACTTCTTGATCATCTTGCATTCCAGGAAGAATTCCAGTTGGCACTATTCAGGAACAGAAACAAGAAAAATCTGTTTGCGGATAGGGTTTGTGAATCTAATCCATGTTCTATAGTTTAAGATTATTTGCCCATAAAGTTCATGGAGGCTATATGCTAGCTATACTTACAATATCCGACGTTGCCTACTTTTTTCTGTGGAATCTTTTTATCTGATCTATTATTTTGTTCTACATTTACAGTCATATCACTTCTTTTAACTCTCATCCTATCACTGTTTGATTCTGATGCATACTCACATTTGTTTCTCCGTAGATTTTTGACCTGTTTGATCTCAAGCGCAATGGGGTCATTGAGTTTGGCGAATTTGTTCAATCATTGGGTATTTTTCACCCAAATGCACCTTTAGAAGACAAAATTACTTGTAAGATTGACCTTCCAACATAAATATTTCATGTTAATTTCTTTTTTCCCCTTAATCTTGGAGTTTCCTATATTAAGTTGCACTGGTTGTTCATGTTCAGTTGCATTAAAGCTTTTCAGTCACCCACATGATACTTATATTTCCTTAAATTGGGAATAATGATCTTGCAGTTGCTTTTAGGTTGTATGATCTGAGGCAGACAGGGTTTATTGAAAGGGAAGAGGTATGGTTTTCTTTCATTGTTGAAATCACAACTTGAATTTTTTTTTTTTTGGTTATTGATTTTATGTCACGTTATTGTTTATTTAGCTTTATCCATATCTATAGATACATATATTTATGCTCGCTCAGTATAAGTCTAGATCAACCCATTGCTTTCACTCCTTAGCATAATGGTCTTATTTATGTTTGCAGTTGAAGGAGATGGTATTGGCACTTCTGCACGAGTCGGATCTTGAGCTTTCAGATGATATGATTGAAAGCATTGTGGACAAGGTTCATAAATCAGAAAGCTTAGCTTATTTTTGTTACTTTTAAGTTCCAAGATGAGCTCCCTTTGAACTTGGCATTCCTCACGTTGTTGCATACCTTCTTACCCACAGACTTTTAGTGATGCTGATATAAATGGTGATGGAAAGATAGATCAAGAAGAGTGGAAAGCATTTGTATCCAAACATCCATCCTTGATAAAGAATATGACTCTTCCATATCTGAAGTCAGTATATTCGTTCTCCATGAACCTTATTTTTTCAGCAACTCAAATTTCAGAAAACTTTCCTTTTCATCCATGTCTCCTCCCTCATGTTTCAGGGATATTACGTTGGCATTTCCAAGTTTTGTTGCAAGAACAGAAATTGAAGAGTCGGATATGTGAATTTGAAAGGTTTTGGCTTCATAAAAGATGCTATATACTATATACAAGTTTATAGTATCTTGGATTTCGTCTCTTGATATTGTTGCTGTGAAGAGATGACCTTAGCTGCAGTGCTAAAGACAAGAACATAATTTGGTCTACGGTTCCCCAACAAAGTTTCTATACCCGCTTTCGCAAATGCGCAGCTACCAAGTGAAATTCTCTCTAGTTAGGTAGATATACCAAAGGGTACGAGTTATTTACTTGAATTGTTAATTCAAATTCAAGGTTAGCTTGTACAAGCATTTTATATATATATATATATATATATATATATATACACACACACACAAGAGATGAAAGTAGGGTAAAGTAACCCAAATATATGTAACTCGGCCATCTTCTACTGGTTGTAAGTTTGAAGGGATGAGAATTATGCTAGAGGATATTTAATGATCTCTCTCTTGGATTCATAGATCAAAATTAATAAGCATTAAACTTTTATAAAATAGAACAATTCTCAATTCTCTTTAGAACAGAAAATGGAAATGTATATAAAGGATTGACTATTGGGAACAATTAATGAGTTAATCTAGATTGGTATTTGATCTTCCCTTTATAGAGCACTTTATGTTATCTCTTACGAGGGTGAAGAGAAATAAACAAGAATAATGAGTGTGCTTACATATGGAACCATGACCCCTTTATGAAATCTTTGTTGGTTACTTTTTCTTAATTTAACATTAATTCATCTTTTTAATTCTCATTTTTAATCATAAGAATTTTTCAAATTTACCTCTTTCTTCCATTACTATAAACTCTCCCTTGGATAGTTCAAAGTCATACTTTGAGTTGATGTTATCTTTTAGGTTAAAATTAACTTAAAGTAGACAAACACACTATTGGGAAGTAGGTCTTGAAAAATTTCAAGAAAAATCTCTCAAAATTAACACATGGCCTCCTTTAATGATTTTATATATATTTTACCTGTGAAACAAAAATTGATTGAAATCTTGTTTGGTAATTATTGCATATGGATCTTTGATCCAGGAGGAATGATACAAGTTGACCAACAATAAGAAAAGGATTTTTGTCATGAAGAAACAAGAAGATTTGAGGACAAATCTTTTTCAAGAGGGAGGGAATGATGACATACCCCCTAAGCATGACCAAACACTTTCAAGAAAAGCTGAAGTCATATGTGGAAGATGGACTTAGACTCTATCTCTTTGGTCATCAAGATCCTTGCTCTCCAAGTTAGCTACGGTAGCTCTTTTAGGTTAAAGTTTATGTTCATTTTGAGACATCTTAGTTTATAAATAGATGTCTCTCTCCTTCATGTAATTACCTTTGATTTAGAGTAAAGTTATGTTGTCATTTTTGTGCCATACTACTTTTTTAAGCTCACCCGAAGCTAGAGAAACCCAAGCGGCATCCTTAGCCACCTTCCTCCAAGAGTTGGCCCAACTTCTCTTAGACATCACTAAACACCACCTACATCACCATAAAATAACCCATGACCAAGAGATTAGCTCTCATTTCCACCAACTTCCGCAAACACTCACTCTTTACCCTTCACCATGACTTTCTCTTCTAGCTTTGGCCTAACCTAGCTATGGGGATTGCCATCACTTAGACAACCCTTTCTTTGCACTCCAAACATGATATTTCGCACAGTCCTTCTTTATGTGTCCAACTTTATTGCAAAAGAAACATTTATTATTTGTTTCTTTTGTGATGGACCTTTAGCTACATCATTCTTGGGATTATCAATTTTCTTCCTTTTACCATTGTCATTATGAAATGATCTCATTAAGAGATCATTTATCCTTTTGACATTTATATGAAACCTTAGATTGTCCAAATTGTATAGGAAGAGAGATCAAACTAAAATGTACGAGTAAGTCTTTCGCCAACTCAAGTTTCAAAGCCTTAAGTTTTCAAACAATGTTTGACATCTCCATAATACATTCTCTCACATTTCTTTTGCCTTGATACCTCATTAAAACCAAGCTTTGAAGAAGTGCACTTGCTTTCACCTTATCGCTTTTCACAAAGTGTTTTTCAATCTCAACAAGGAAATCTTTAGCACTTGTAATTTCTTCAAATATAGTATCTCTATAAATCTCTAGAGTGTCGCGCATAATGATCATCAAACTCATGCGACTTGAGCGGTCTCACTTCTCATATGCCCTCCTCTCGTCAAAGGTACTTGAGTCATTGAGAGATGAAGGTTTTTCAATCCTTAATGTGAGATCGAGATCCATGGAGCCAAGAACTATCTCTATGTTATCTTTCCAGTCCTTAAAATTTGTATCGTTGAGGACCAAAACTAAATTTATATTGGCAGATATTAAAGTCATCGTAGTTGTGTTTTGTATAAGAGAAACAAAAGAATTAAACTTACACTGTAAAATTAATAATTATACAAATACATTCAAATAATAGTTTATCCCATCTCAAGACACTCAATGCCCTATCAATATCAAGTCTTTGGATAATAATATTAATGACTGGAGGTATCTTGGTGTAATGATCAACACTGATAATAAAAACATGTCCAATAACAAGCCTATCTTTGGATCGATTTATCATTGACATATAAAACCTTATAATTATCACATGTTACCAAATGCTTATACAATCCGACCAAATTTTAATTTTCCTTTGATTCGACCAATACCCACGTGGATATAAATAAACACGAGAATTTATAATTTATCTATAAACTACTTGGATAAATAAGACTCACTTTGGTGATTTCTTAATTATCAAATAGCTTATTCAAAATTATAAACAAGACCAAAATTGAATTTTTATTTATTCCAAACCCAAATTAATTATTAATTTCTTTTACTTTATTTTAAAAATATTAATGTTTTATCTCGATCACTAATGGAAATTTAAGGCAAAATACCCAATTTTGTCCCCACTTTGGTTCGGAAATCTCAAATTAGTCCCTTTATAGAAAAGTGAGTTGAATGGATCCTTACTTGTAATTAATTGACTCTAATCAGTCCCTTCCGTTAAATAGAAGGAAACAGAGTTAGTGGACTGATGATGTGGCACTAGTCATTGGTGAGGTGTCAAGACGTAATTAAAAATTTATAAAAATGAGAAAAGAAGATTCCATGTCAGTGGGGGCAAAAGGGAAATGTCCTTGGACTGTGCTGCAAATCCTCCTCCCTCCGAAGACTGAACGCAAGATCCGAGCTGAAGATGGTATTGATAATCTTCATGGGACCAGCATAGGACGAACCAGGAAAAAAGGCATACGCAATTTCCTTCTTATCCGAATCCGCAGGCATTGAATCCTGAGCATCCTTCCACCACCTGAAACACACGGAATCAACCACCGACACTCTTCACACATTCAATCTCAATCAAACAATGCAGACAGGCTCGTCGACTGGAACGTCGACGGCGAACTCGGTATAGCAGAGGGCAGAGAGGAGGGCGGAGAAGCCGGAGGCAGCGTAGGAGAGGACGATGGCGGGGCCGGCGTGGAACCGGGCCTCCTGTCCGGTGACGACGAAGATACCAGAGCCGACCACTGATCCGAAGGCCAACCAGCTGAGGTCCCACCAGGTGAGGCAGCGGTTCATGCGGTGCTCGCTGGCAAGGGGGAGCACGAGCAGCTCGTGCGAGTCGCTCGAGCGGTTCAGAAGACGGTCCATGAGGCGCGGACACGTGTCAGCCAACGCCGTGCAGTAGGATTTCCCATTCTCGAATGACTTCTCCGGGAAGAAGTCCCGCTTGCTCCACCGCCAGTAGCTTCGATTCTCCGGCGCCGACGACGGTTCCAAAAGAATGGTTGTTTCAGCAAATATAAGGGTCCATGTTAGATGCAGACCTCCTATCCTCAAAGTATCTCTTCCCTTTCTTCTTTGTTTCCCTCCCTACCCTAATAGAAGCACCACGGTTTGGAACACCCTGCATTCCCACATCAACACCACCCACCATCAATAAGGGCTGTTTCACAATGACATATTGCAATTAATGTTATCTTTAATAAATGCCGCACACTAAAACATTCCAGCACGTCCCAGCTCGTTGAATTTTCCCACCAAAATGTACTCAAATAAAGCATACAACACTTACACCAAGGTGCTTCTATTCTTCTCAACAACTACAGCGATGCAATAAACTCGATGACGAGGCTATCCATCCGTTGTAGCAAGAATTGATGGACGCTTAAAATTATAAGATTCCTCTGTGGCGAGCTCTTTTTGTTATGGCAGAGAATCCATCTGTGACAAGAAAATTCCTTGGAGGGAAGGGCAAAGCTCACACCAAGCAAGCTCACAACTGGGTCCTTTATGACAGTACCACCAGCCACCACCACTGCCCCTCCTCCAGCTGAGCTTCCACCTTCCCCTCCAGTTTTGTCTCCACCATCTTCACCAACTGTTTCCCCTCCTCCCCAATCTCCTCCCGCTACAATTCCCCCTCTTTCTCAATCAATTGACACCTCACCAAAGACAACTGCCACATCATCAGTCCACTAACTCCGTTTCCTTCTATTTAACGGAAGGGACTGATTAGAGTCAATTAATTACAAGTAAGGATCCATTCAACTCACTTTTCTATAAAGGGACTAATTTGAGATTTCCGAACCAAAGTGGGGACAAAATTGGGTATTTTGCCGAAATTTAATGGGTCCTTACCCAAACTAGGAGTAACTACATCAACCAACACTACATTGAGACAACCATTGTGAAACCCGATGACCACCATCGTGTACCACTACGTGAATCGTCACGAAACTCATACCCATAGTGCGCCTTCACTGTAGACCAGAAGGGCGAGTCTTGCGCCTCGCCGTCAGCCTTGAACAACACATTGCCTTGATCACCGCGATGTTATCGTATGACGGGGATTGCAAATCACCACAGATCCTGTTGTAGAAAAAATGACAAAATCACAAACAAAATTTTTCGAGGTGTGTAGATCATTGTCCTTAAGGACTTATCCGCGGTGTATTGCACAAGCCCCCCAGGATACAACAGACACTTACCAAAAATTTCTAAGGATCTCAGAACTAGCAAGGAACTATAAATAGAGTAAAAGAATAAACCATGATTTTCTCAGAAGGAAAGATAAAAGAGAGAATGAGAGGATGAGAGAAATGTTTAGGTTTGTTTTTGGAGTGAAACAAGTGCTCTATTTATAGATGCTGAAAGGAATGATCCAAGGTAAAAAAAACTTGTAGAATAAGTTGCCCGAAATTGATTTTGTGCCTTGTGGAAGGAGATTTCACGGAAGATACTATCCAAACTAACTTTTGAGACATGTGGAAGGAGATTGAACGAAGGAGAGAGAGAAAACGTTCATTCAATAACGTTTCTTAGCCTTTTGGGAAGACTTTTGCAATACAAATATAACAATCCCCCACATATTGCAAAAGATCAAACATTAACTAAAGAAATAGAAAGAAATATCCTTACTTTCATAAGATGTAATGCATTAGAGCTGGTATAACAAGCTATATGAACAAGTTCTAGATCGACAAACTTAATACAGAATGTAGTTGGTATAACAAGTTATATGAAACAAAGACACTTGAGTGTGTTAGAGGTTTATCAATCACAATACACCCCCACAATCCTTACTATTATCGTTGTGATGCGTTTACTAGGCCATGCGCGTGCTCTAGAGATTATGCTAAGATCTCATGCAAGCAACCCCACTTGACACTCATATAAATAGATTTGATTGTTGGCCTCGAATTGACAAGGGATTTAGGAGCGACCACAATAGATTATCTAACGGATTCGCAGCTCTTAGTGGGACAAATGAATGGTAACTGAGCGCCCAAGGAGAATTCCGTAAAGTCCGAAATCGGAACGCTCGACTGACCTGTTGGCTGACAAGAGCAAACCAGGTAAGAGTGAGTATCATTAATGGCCAATTAATACGTTTAATGGTCGTATCAAGGGCAAATATACTTTATTGGTGATTAACAGGATATATTGCACAAAAATATATTGTCTTAATGGATAATTAATGGGTTGGATGATTATGAAGCCTATAAATACAAGATTAATGTCCAGGTAAAAACATCATTTTCCAAATTAACATAAGAGCACACTTAAGCAACATTTCTTACTTAAGCGTCGGAGTATTTTCTGCATGTCAACCACCGATTGGGAGAACAACGTACACAAATTAGTAGATCGGAGAACAATCCATTGGTCAGGAGAAGTTAGGACGATCAGCCTCGGATCCCTTCCAACAGAAACATTTAATAACAATGGAAATGAGAACATAATTTGAAAAAAAAATTTAAGAAGGTGAAATAAGAAATGATAAGTGTGATAGTAATTACTTAAATTTTAAGAAATGTAAAGAGCACAAAAATAAATTGTAGAAACTAAATTACCAAGAAAAGTAAAAGAACTTGTAAAGCAAATAAATGAGAATGATGACTTAAATTGCAATAACCACACTAAATTAGTCATTTTTCCTGTTTGTATCTGAATGTATGTATTGTTCTATAATTTATCACTCTTGTAAAATACAAAATCCACCTATTTATATTTTCTAACCCTTCTTTTATGGTTATCCTGAGTAAAATCAAAATTTAAACAAGTTACATGCTAAACTGCCTTATAACTTTCATAGAAAAGAATTTCTGGTTGACTTCCAATTAAATGCCACATGTCTTGAGTAGTTAATATCCATTATATCTTCATAGTAGTAGTTGCTTTGTTCTTCTTTTTTATTTGCTTCGATCTTTACTTTGATTATCATTTCTCGATCAACATTAGCGATATTATTTCATCATTTTTTCATGCTATGCTTGGTTTGACTTCTTGTGGTCTTGATTATTTTCTATTATTGGATTTATCTTTAAGGTGTCATGAACTTTAACCAATTTATTTCTACACCTCAATGAACTCAACTTAGTTGCAGCTGCACTAACACACGTTAAAATATCCAAAGAACATTTATACAGCTTAAAACTTATTTTTAACATGTTTTTGTACCTCATGCTAAATAAACCTAATTATAACACATCCTAATTAAAATATTCTATCAAAGTACAAAAACCAATTAAGAATCCAATATTAAAGGTTAAATGAGGGCATAAATATGTACTCATCACATCCCCACACTTATCCTTTTGCACTTTTAGGCAAAACTGAGTAATTTCAAANAGGCAAAATACCCAATTTTGTCCCCACTTTGGTTCGGAAATCTCAAATTAGTCCCTTTATAGAAAAGTGAGTTGAATGGATCCTTACTTGTAATTAATTGACTCTAATCAGTCCCTTCCGTTAAATAGAAGGAAACAGAGTTAGTGGACTGATGATGTGGCACTAGTCATTGGTGAGGTGTCAAGACGTAATTAAAAATTTATAAAAATGAGAAAAGAAGAGTCCATGTCAGTGGGGGCAAAAGGGAAATGTCCTTGGACTGTGCTGCAAATCCTCCTCCCTCCGAAGACTGAACGCAAGATCCGAGCTGAAGATGGTATTGATAATCTTCATGGGACCAGCATAGGACGAACCAGGAAAAAAGGCATACGCAATTTCCTTCTTATCCGAATCCGCAGGCATTGAATCCTGAGCATCCTTCCACCACCTGAAACACACGGAATCAACCACCGACACTCTTCACACATTCAATCTCAATCAAACAATGCAGACAGGCTCGTCGACTGGAACGTCGACGGCGAACTCGGTATAGCAGAGGGCAGAGAGGAGGGCGGAGAAGCCGGAGGCAGCGTAGGAGAGGACGATGGCGGGGCCGGCGTGGAACCGGGCCTCCTGTCCGGTGACGACGAAGATACCAGAGCCGACCACTGATCCGAAGGCCAACCAGCTGAGGTCCCACCAGGTGAGGCAGCGGTTCATGCGGTGCTCGCTGGCAAGGGGGAGCACGAGCAGCTCGTGCGAGTCGCTCGAGCGGTTCAGAAGACGGTCCATGAGGCGCGGACACGTGTCAGCCAACGCCGTGCAGTAGGATTTCCCATTCTCGAATGACTTCTCCGGGAAGAAGTCCCGCTTGCTCCACCGCCAGTAGCTTCGATTCTCCGGCGCCGACGACGGTTCCAAAAGAATGGTTGTTTCAGCAAATATAAGGGTCCATGTTAGATGCAGACCTCCTATCCTCAAAGTATCTCTTCCCTTTCTTCTTTGTTTCCCTCCCTACCCTAATAGAAGCACCACGGTTTGGAACACCCTGCATTCCCACATCAACACCACCCACCATCAATAAGGGCTGTTTCACAATGACATATTGCAATTAATGTTATCTTTAATAAATGCCGCACACTAAAACATTCCAGCACGTCCCAGCTCGTTGAATTTTCTCACCAAAATGTACTCAAATAAAGCATACAACATTTACACCAAGGTGCTTCTATTCTTCTCAACAACTACAGCGATGCAATAAACTCGATGACGAGGCTATCCATCCGTTGTAGCAAGAATTGATGGACGCTTAAAATTATAAGATTCCTCTGTGGCGAGCTCTTTTTGTTATGGCAGAGAATCCATCTGTGACAAGAAAATTCCTTGGAGGGAAGGGCAAAGCTCACACCAAGCAAGCTCACAACTGGGTCCTTTATGACAGTACCACCAGCCACCACCACTGCCCCTCCTCCAGCTGAGCTTCCACCTTCCCCTCCAGTTTTGTCTCCACCATCTTCACCAACTGTTTCCCCTCCTCCCCAATCTCCTCCCGCTACAATTCCCCCTCTTTCTCAATCAATTGACACCTCACCAAAGACAACTGCCACATCATCAGTCCACTAACTCCGTTTCCTTCTATTTAACGGAAGGGACTTATTAGAGTCAATTAATTACAAGTAAGGATCCATTCAACTCACTTTTCTATAAAGGGACTAATTTGAGATTTCCGAACCAAAGTGGGGACAAATTTGGGTATTTTGCCGAAATTTAATGGGTCCTTACCCAAACTAGGAGTAACTACATCAACCAACACTACATTGAGACAACCATTGTGAAACCCGATGACCACCATCGTGTACCACTACGTGAATCGTCACGAAACTCATACCCATAGTGCGCCTTCACTGTAGACCAGAAGGGCGAGTCTTGCGCCTCGCCGTCAGCCTTGAACAACACATTGCCTTGATCACCGCGATGTTATCGTATGACGGGGATTGCAAATCACCACAGATCCTGTTGTAGAAAAAATGACAAAATCACAAACAAAATTTTTCGAGGTGTGTAGATCATTGTCCTTAAGGACTTATCCGCGGTGTATTGCACAAGCCCCCCAGGATACAACAGACACTTACCAAAAATTTCTAAGGATCTCAGAACTAGCAAGGAACTATAAATAGAGTAAAAGAATAAACCATGATTTTCTCAGAAGGAAAGATAAAAGAGAGAATGAGAGGATGAGAGAAATGTTTAGGTTTGTTTTTGGAGTGAAACAAGTGCTCTATTTATAGATGCTGAAAGGAATGATCCAAGGTAAAAAAAACTTGTAGAATAAGTTGCCCGAAATTGATTTTGTGCCTTGTGGAAGGAGATTTCACGGAAGATACTATCCAAACTAACTTTTGAGACATGTGGAAGGAGATTGAACGAAGGAGAGAGAGAAAACGTTCATTCAATAACGTTTCTTAGCCTTTTGGGAAGACTTTTGCAATACAAATATAACAATCCCCCACATATTGCAAAAGATCAAACATTAACTAAAGAAATAGAAAGAAATATCCTTACTTTCATAAGATGTAATGCATTAGAGCTGGTATAACAAGCTATATGAACAAGTTCTAGATCGACAAACTTAATACAGAATGTAGTTGGTATAACAAGTTATATGAAACAAAGACACTTGAGTGTGTTAGAGGTTTATCAATCACAATACACCCCCACAATCCTTACTATTATCGTTGTGATGCGTTTACTAGGCCATGCGCGTGCTCTAGAGATTATGCTAAGATCTCATGCAAGCAACCCCACTTGACACTCATATAAATAGATTTGATTGTTGGCCTCGAATTGACAAGGGATTTAGGAGCGACCACAATAGATTATCTAACGGATTCGCAGCTCTTAGTGGGACAAATGAATGGTAACTGAGCGCCCAAGGAGAATTCCGTAAAGTCCGAAATCGGAACGCTCGACTGACCTGTTGGCTGACAAGAGCAAACCAGGTAAGAGTGAGTATCATTAATGGCCAATTAATACGTTTAATGGTCGTATCAAGGGCAAATATACTTTATTGGTGATTAACAGGATATATTGCACAAAAATATATTGTCTTAATGGATAATTAATGGGTTGGATGATTATGAAGCCTATAAATACAAGATTAATGTCCAGGTAAAAACATCATTTTCCAAATTAACATAAGAGCACACTTAAGCAACATTTCTTACTTAAGCGTCGGAGTATTTTCTGCATGTCAACCACCGATTGGGAGAACAACGTACACAAATTAGTAGATCGGAGAACAATCCATTGGTCAGGAGAAGTTAGGACGATCAGCCTCGGATCCCTTCCAACAGAAACATTTAATAACAATGGAAATGAGAACATAATTTGAAAAAAAAATTTAAGAAGGTGAAATAAGAAATGATAAGTGTGATAGTAATTACTTAAATTTTAAGAAATGTAAAGAGCACAAAAATAAATTGTAGAAACTAAATTACCAAGAAAAGTAAAAGAACTTGTAAAGCAAATAAATGAGAATGATGACTTAAATTGCAATAACCACACTAAATTAGTCATTTTTCCTGTTTGTATCTGAATGTATGTATTGTTCTATAATTTATCACTCTTGTAAAATACAAAATCCACCTATTTATATTTTCTAACCCTTCTTTTATGGTTATCCTGAGTAAAATCAAAATTTAAACAAGTTACATGCTAAACTGCCTTATAACTTTCATAGAAAAGAATTTCTGGTTGACTTCCAATTAAATGCCACATGTCTTGAGTAGTTAATATCCATTATATCTTCATAGTAGTAGTTGCTTTGTTCTTCTTTTTTATTTGCTTCGATCTTTACTTTGATTATCATTTCTCGATCAACATTAGCGATATTATTTCATCATTTTTTCATGCTATGCTTGGTTTGACTTCTTGTGGTCTTGATTATTTTCTATTATTGGATTTATCTTTAAGGTGTCATGAACTTTAACCAATTTATTTCTACACCTCAATGAACTCAACTTAGTTGCAGCTGCACTAACACACGTTAAAATATCCAAAGAACATTTATACAGCTTAAAACTTATTTTTAACATGTTTTTGTACCTCATGCTAAATAAACCTAATTATAACACATCCTAATTAAAATATTCTATCAAAGTACAAAAACCAATTAAGAATCCAATATTAAAGGTTAAATGAGGGCATAAATATGTACTCATCACATCCCCACACTTATCCTTTTGCACTTTTAGGCAAAACTGAGTAATTTCAAAACTTTATTCCAGGTCAATATTCATATGAACATTAAACTACAGGAAAAGAACTTCCATGGAAGATAATCAACTTTCTAAATCAAGTTGTCATGAATCATGTGAATGAGAAAACTCTATTTTAAACATATAAGTTAATCTTTCAAATTTACCAGGAAATCAAGTATGAAAGAGACCACTTAAGTTAAAATGTACATTCACTCACCAATGCTCTCTTAAGTTTTTAAGCTTCTGTTTGCAATCAAAATTCTCTTGTATGCAAAAACTACCATTAGTTAGCAAGATTCTAATATTCACAAACTTTTGAAAAACATGCATTCAAAGATCATAAAAACTTTTTAAAGGTTGTAACTTTATTCCACTACTACAAAATTGATGATAAATATCACTCAATAGATAACGCTTTTTTAAATAAACATTGTGTATTAATGCACGAAATAATGGATAACGCTTATTTAAAAAAGCGCTATCTATAAATAATTAATATTATTATTTTTATTCATAATTTAAAATAAAGCTAAAAGATAGCGTTTGTTTTAAAAAACGCCGAGTATTTCAACATAGCGTTATTTGAAACAGCTGCATGCTCTTTTACATTTCTCTTGGAGCTTCTTTTTACCCTCAGCCAAAGTTTTCCCTCTTTTTCTAAATTTTCAGATTTAGATTCATCAAACCCACTCCCCAAATTTAACTTCGTATTTGCCCCCCAAATTTCAATTCGTATTTGCCCCCAAATTTTAAAAAACCTATCACAATATCTCCTAAATCACATTTTCGCGTTCCCTCTACAACCACATTTTCCCTCTTCACAATTCTAATTTCTCTTCCCTGCATCGCAATCTCGAATCTCTCCAGAAGCTTCTTCTCACCAAAGCCATCTTCATCGACGAAGACACTTTCTCCAAAGCCTTCCTTACCGCTGACCAAGCCCGCTCCATCAAACTGCTCCAGCAACGAGTTGAGATATTGGAGAGAGAGTTTGACGCTGCCATCACCGCTGCCGCTCGCCCTCGCTCCGAGAAACGACAAGCTGAGGCCGCTCAGAAAGTCGCCGACTTGCGCGCATTGGAGAGCTGGAAAGCGTTAAAAAATGAAATAGGGACACCGGGAGTGATTCATACGACAATTTATGATTTTTGTCAGTAATGTTTTTTCTTGGAGATTGGTTTCTGGTTTTCTTTAACCTTTTCTTTTTCTTCTGGAGATTCATACGACAGTTGAAATAGGACACCGGGAGTGAAGTTCGTGGTGGCGCTTGATACCGGAAGTGACCTGTTCTGGGTACCCTGTGATTGCACAAGATGTGTTGCTATTGATAGCCCAGCCTTTGCTTCGGTATGTTTTATTTTCCTTTTTGTTTTGTGACCAAAATGAAGTTGTTCCTATAGTATATTGTTGTTGATTATAGGGTTTTTCTCTAATTGGCTTTTTAAGGGCATGTTGCAAGAAGGACACTTCTTTTAACATTGCATTGAATAAATGATTTTATTATTAGAAGAAATGTATCTAGTTAGATGCGTGTGTGGTGTAGTCAGGTTTTGGTTGATCTATTTTTCATATTGAGTGTTTTGTTGCTCTATTTGTTTTATTTGATAAAGATTTTATTTGAGTGCCTTGTGTTTACGGTGGGTTTAAATGTTGAT